TTTTTTCTCAAAAGAAGGGTTGGGAAGTAGTCTCCGCGTCACTGCATCCTCGAGGATTATTGTGACATACCCACTTCAGTTCCATAGACGAGTAGCAGTTAAGAATGCCAGTATGTCCTTTGGAGAGATGTTGCCTACTTCCGTTATAAGCGGATATGCAATGGATAAGTAGCGAAGTCTGAGTCTTGCAAGACTATCACAGTGACACAATATGTGTTCTGCTGTTTTCTCTTCTTCGTAACAAAGTCTACAGCTATCGTCTCCAGTAATACCTAGATTCAATAAATGTTTTTTAACTCCACAGTGTCCAGTTAGAAAACCTGTGACAAGTCGGATGCCACTTCTGTTCAGCATAAGTAGCTCCCTAGTTCTGGCTTTTGATCGGAACGGCATGGATTCTTTTGCTTGTCTGCAGGTAATTGTATTATCCCAATCATTCTGAGCTGCTTTTTCCAACCATTCATTAGTTTTAAGTTTGAAAAAGCTCCACGAAGGCCCGCAGAATGGTTGTGGCCCAATATAGTATGAGGCCGCCCCTTTTCTCGCTAGTTCATCTGCTTTTTCGTTTCCCTCAAAACCGCTGTGCCCTGGAATCCATATTAAGTGGACTCTGTTCTTTTCAGCAAGGTCTTTGAGAAGTAGAAGGCATCCCCACACTATTTTTGAGGTTACTCGAGGTGAGCGTAGTGCCAGGAGTGCCGATTTACTGTCAGAAAAGATATATATGTTTTTTCCCGTGACGGGTTTACCTTTATATACCCTGAGACATAATTCAATTGCGTGTACTTCAGCCTGAAAGACTGAGTTTTCTTTACTCATACTCGCAAATATTTCCTCTTTAGGTCTTACTCCATATACTCCCGCCCCCACTCCTTCCATCGTTTTGGAGCCATCCGTGTACCACAGATGGTAGTCTCCAGCGAATGGAGGTATGTTCCGTTCCCTATTAAAACAACTTAGTCTTTAGAAAAAGATTTGGAATAATATCCATAAGTTAATATTTTTAATAGTTATTCAAAACAACTAATTAATATTATTTACTTATGAAAACATATATAGTGTACTATGTTAATAAAATTATCTAACTAATGTTTGAAAAAAATATACTTTGCTTGCATAAAACTCTCCTCTATGACCTGATAATATATGTATAAATAATTTTAAAGGTATGAAATTTATATCACAAATTTATAAATTGTATAAATTAGTATGTATAAAATGAATAAGACCATTTCGTTTAGCTAAATATAGTTGAATCAGTGGTTTGATATTTTTAATTAATTTGCATTAAAAGAGTGTATTACATAGTAATGCAGTCTATTTTACATATGTATTTTACACAGCTTTTAGGATTTAATTAATTTATTATTGAGTTTATAATTATTTTTTAATCAAGTTGAAAATCCTTTTAACTACATAAATATCAATAATAAACGGATAGACAAAGTTTAAAATTTGCTTTAATAAAATGAATAATGAATGTATCTACAAATCTACATGAGAGCGGAACATTTCATTAAGAGAACGTTTAGAATCTTTTTTTTTTTGGCTAAAAATTTATATCAATTTTATGGTTAAATTATTCAAGACAAAACAGGATATTTTCCAGACAGAAAAATTTCACGATTTTATGGCATTTTTATGGTGCTAGAAATTTTATTTCCCAAATTGAAATTGTTATTTGCAGTTGATGTGAAAAATATAATAGTCACAATTGTACAAGGAAGCTACAGAAGCATTTTATATTATTAAGTAGGAGTAGATGAGTAGAATAGCCCATCTGTAAAAGTAAAACAGAATTATTTTATTCGTTTTAAAGTATCTAATAATTTACATAGATTTATAGCGGAATTACGTGATGGATTTGCAAATCGTATTGTTGTGCTAATATTGCAATGCAATTGATTTTGTATGTATGAAATTTGCGTTACATTTGCACCGATAACATGTATCTAAAATTACTGAATATACAATTGTATACGTAAGTATAATACTAAATGAAATTCATTCATAAATGTATACATAGATACGCGTAGCAGATACGCAAATGTATCTACTCGTATGCAAGTTAGTATGCGGTTTTAACCTCTGCTGCTTGCTAGCTAATGTGAATCGCGTGTGTAACTTTTGCATTTTAATTGGCATAAATGCCGTATAGATATCCACAATCGTGGTGAAATGTATCTAAGCATAAATGCATGTGCATTAAGTGCATTTTGCATATCTGAATAATTTATATACGCAATTTCAATAAGCGATTGATTATAGATCCTGTTGTCAAAGTAACAAACCACATTTACTATACCAACTTTAATTAATTTAAAATAAAGTTAGCGAACACTTTAATTACTAAAACTTATCGAAAAAATATTGTATCAATCAAGTAATCCTCAAAATATTGTGGTTTTATTCAATCATTCATCCTTACAACCAACATTAACAACATTGTAAATTTAGCTATGGTCGTGCAACCATTAGCATAATTTAGAAATATTTTATTTATAGTAAACTTTGTTCAGATAGCTTTTTACTTTGTAGATTTATAATAAAATATTTTTTCTCCGATATTTTATAAAAAAAAAACATAGCTAATGAGCTTATTAGTTTTATTAAAAATAAATCCCTACAGCAATAACTAAGGTCAAAATAAAACCTATGCTCTTATAATCAATTATATATAAAAGAATATAATATTTTGAAATAATTCTAAGTAATTTTTCAAATTCGCAAGAAAACAACATTCATTAAGTTACTGATAACAAAAATCACAGCAAAATAAGCAAATAATTTAATTAAATACAACAGTAGTGCTTATAATTAACCTACCCACACAAGTTATATATATATCATTTCATACGTATCTATAGAGCACTAAATAATAAGAATAAACATACTAAGTCATTTCAAAACAAAAAAATTTAATGCCGGACTACTGATATCTCTCTCAGTAATTAAAAGTATTTGCTATTAACAGCAACAAGTCATTTATAATTCCAGAGAAATAAATTTACAGTAACCACTTTAGAAGAATAACTATACAGTAATTACTTAAGAGATCTAACTTCAGAGGTATAACTCCACTAAATGACACCTATAGATGGAATTTCATTAAACGTATTCAATAAAAATTTCGATATATGCGAGTAGTACAATGCAATTACCATACTGAACAGTGATATGAAACATTGATCAGTAAAGATATAAAACATGGCCTTAAATTGTGATTAAGAACCAAACAATTTCTTTCTGAAAATATTCATAACCACTTCTTTTTCTTATATACAGCCCCCAGAAAATTTCAAGTAAAACACAATTGATATAATGACTGCAGTTCTTTAAAGAAGAGTACTCAGCAATTCTTTTACTTAATATATACATGGCTGATCTTTCTTTATACTCAAATCACGTAGTTGCTTCTTTTGCGGATGGCACTGCAATTTTTAGTCATACAATGACCACAAGTGCATCCCGAATCCTCTCAGCTCATTGGAGTCTTCTGGAAAAATGACTTACTAAATAGTGCATGAAAATTAATGAAACGAAAAGTGTGCAAGTAACTTTTATGCTGCGCAAGACCAAATGACCTTTTGTTATGCTGAATAATATTTTCCATATCATTATCAAACGTTGTGGAATATCTTGATATTCATCTTGACAGAAGAGTAACTTGGATTAAGCATATCAAGTGTAAAAAAGGTGAAATTAAACTAAATTCACTGCAAGCACACTAATGTAATAATAAGAATTCAAAACTCAGCTTAAAATATAACGTGCTAACTATGGAGTACATTGAACTATGGAGCTATCGAAAAAAGATATTATTTTTGTCTAATAATTTACTTCGACAAGAATTCGGTGCTCGTTGATGCCTTAAAAAGGAACAAATTCACAACGATCTTGAAAGACCAAAAGTTACTTAAATTATAGCTACATATGTACTTCTAAAAACACAAACCAAAATCATATCAAAATTATTACCCAACGGCTTCTAACAGTTGTTTCCTGGTCGCATAGTCTCCAGATTAAACCTAAAAACCACCATATCAGCTTAAAGTGACAACATAGTAAATTTCCGCAACTAAATTTAATCTTTTTTTACCTATTTTTTTTTCTTTTTTTGTACCTTGTAATTGCATTATGTATAAATGTAAGAGTTAAATAAAAATAAACAATTTCTAGTAAAATAAGATACAATTTTAAAGAAATAAATAATATACAACATAATATGTATATTGGGCCAGACAGGAAAAAGTAAAGTTTATGAAACACTGAGAAGAGAACGTCATTAGTTTCTAAAATGCACTTCATCGGCTGAAATTTAGGCAAAAGACTGTAAATTTATTTATAAGAATTATTTCTATTTAATCAATAGCTAGCTTTATAGTCAAATAAATGATTTTAGACTACAATTCTAACGGTGTATTTTATATTAAGGTTTAAGAATTATGTCATATTTTCAGCTTTGAAGGCTACTAATCTTATTAACTTAAAAGCTTTTATTTAATGAAGGTACAATATAGTGCAGTAGTTTAATTAGCTGAAAAATTGTGATAATACATCTAATCATTAATGCAACCTAACTTTTAAGACTTAGGAGTACATAGTTGTTCTTATACATGGTTTAGTTAATAGCGTCCAACTGCGAAGAAAAAATACATATTTACACATAATGATATTAGCAAAACGTCCACTTTAAGTAAAAAAGGCCTTACAACAAGACATTAACTATTAAACAATATGCAAACAACTTTACTAGTTATGGATCAAAGCTAATAAGGAACCCACAAATTATCAAAAGTGATAAGCGAATCTGCTATATTCGAATGTGTTTTCAATGCTACAAATTTGCAATGTTGCAAATTTAGCATAAACCTTGGGACCCGGGTTTTAGTAAGTT